ACAGTGCAGCACTCAGGCAGCAAGTAGCAAAGCCAGCAGCATGGAGAGCTGCCTCCAGTTGGTAAATCTAAAGGGCAGCGGGCAGGGAAGGGGCATGGGGAGGCAGACCAATGCCCTCTGCAGTGAGGGAGGGAACAGGGACAGGCACTGATCAGCCAGGGTGGGGGGCGTGCGGGACAGAGGCATGGCTTGTGGGGTAGGGGCGGCTCCTGCTGCTGCTTGCACCCTGGGAGGGCAGGGTGGGGGCAGCACGTGCCCTGGGATCTGCGAGGCGTGGGGCAGGCCACAGCTGTGGAGCGGAACCAGAGCTGGCGCTGCATGGGGCTTTTCTTGCTGGGGGCTGGTCTCAAACCGGGTCCACTCTGAGCCCAGCCCCTGGCAAGAAAAGCCCTATGCAGCACTGGCTCTGGCTCCATCCTGCAGCTGCAGCCCACGCCGCTTCATGCAAATCCAGGGGCACATGCCCCCTGCCCTGCCAGGGTGCAAGCAGCAGGGGAAGCTGCCCCCTCCCCACTAGCCGCACCTCTGTCCCATGCCCCCCCTGCCCTGGCTAGGGAGTAGCTGCCTCTGCCCCCTCCCTCACTGCAGGAGTGTTGATCTGCCCCATCATATCCCTTCCCTCCTCCCTCTCCTTCCAATTTACCAGCTGGAGGCAGCTCTGCAGGCTCTGCTCCATGTTGTGCTGTTGTTGCACACAGTACGGGTATTTATCGGCCAAATTATTGGCTCCATGGGACCAATATCAGATAAAGACAATTTTCTTCTTATTGGTACTGATCTGATATTGGACTGATGTATTAGCGCACCTCTAAAAACTAATTTTCCCTCTATTCCTGTTTTTTTTGACAGAAACATTTAGGGAGAATTTCACTTTTAGGTAAAACTGTAACTTTTTCTGAGATTATTGGAAGATGTATGCACATATTAGAAGTCGAATTTAGGTTCTGGGCATGGTTGTTGAGTTTTGCACCTGGTGAAATTAACACGTTAAGGCCAGAAGCATGTAATAATTATCACTAAGTAGTAACTTTAAAAAACACAAAAATGCCTTTGTATTCATCTCAAGATTCAATTGCTGTGTGTTACCTGCATTTGACAACCATCTGCATATTTGAGTTTCTAACATGGGTTTGAAACAAAAAAGTTTCATAGACATTAGAGGCTGGAAGGGACCTTGTGCCATCAGTGAGTCCAGCCCCCTCTGCCATAGGCAGGAAGTCTGCTGGGGTCAAATAATCCCAGCAAGGTAAACATCCAGACACCTTCTGATTGAGTCCAGAGTAGATTCTTGCACTACCTCTGGGGGGAGTCTGTTCCAGACCCTGGGCGCACAGACTGTAAAGAAGTTTTTTCTTATGTCCAGTTTAAGTCGGCCTTCCAGGAGTTTGTGGCTGCTAGACCTTGTTGTCCCTTGGGGAGCCCTGGTGAGAAACTGTTCTCCCAGGTCCTGATGCACCTGGTTTATATACTTGTAGGCTGCCACCAAGTCCCCCCTGAGCTTTCTCTTCTCCGGGCTGAAGAGTCCCAGGTACCTCAGTCTCTCCGCATAAGGCTTGCTGACTTGGCCTTTGGTCCTACGGGTGGCTTCCTTTTGGACTCTGTCAAGCATATCCACATCCCTCCTGAAGTAGGGGGGGCCCAAAACAATGCAGTATTCCAGCTACAGCCTCCCTAAGGCCGAGTAATGCAGGAGGACGATGTCCCTGGTTTTGCTTGAGATGCATTGGTGGATGCATGCCAGTTTGGTTTGCTTTGCCAGCTATGACATTATATTGGTGGCTCATAGTGGTCAATCAAGATCCCCAAGTTTCTCTCGGGCATGGTGCTAATAGGCGTAGCACTGCCGAGCCTATAAGTATGCTGCTGGTTCTTCCTCCCAAGGTGGGGCACCCTGTACTTCTCTACATTGAAGGCCATCAAGTTTTGGTCTGCCCACCTTGCGAACGTGTCCAGGTCAGCCTGTAACCCCAGCATGTTTTCCAGTGTGACCACTTTCCCCTGACAGTTCAGTGTCATCCACAAACTTTGCCAGCCTGCCTCTGAGGCCCAAATCCAAATCATTAATGAAGATCTTGAAGAGTACGGGCCCATGTACTGAGCCCTGAGGGATGCCACTGGCCACCTTGCGCCACGCTGATTCTCTCCCATCAACTAGTATTCTTTGGGTCCGACCCCGGAGCCAGTTCCCAGCCATTGGACCGTGTGATGGTTGAGGGTCGTAGCTCCACAGCTTAACCATGAGGACACCATGGGAGACTAAGTCAAAGGCTTTTTTTAAATCTAGATATATGACATCCACTTAGTCTCCCTTGTCCCGGCAGTGCGTCACCTGGTCATAGAAGGAGCCAAGGTTGGTCAGGCAAGACCTACCAGTAATAAAGCCATGTTGGCTTGCATTCAGAAGGTTGCCTTCCTTTAGCCTGTAGCTGATGGATTCTTTGATGATTTTCTCCAAAATCTTTCTAGGGGTGGATGTCAGACTGATTGGCCTGTAATTCCCTGCATCCTCCTTCCTTTCTTTCTTGGGACCACTCTGGCTCTTCTCCAGTCTTCCGGAACCACACCAACTTTTGTTTGCAACCATGTTACTAACCGTAGTTGACCTTCAACCCATTCCTATGAGGTTTGTTTGTTTCCCAATCCATTTTTCTGTAGGAAAAGGGAAATGAGTTGTGGGTGAGAGCTAAGATTCAATTGTGAACCACTCTGGTTCTAACTAGACCACATTTTTTCTGTCTGTTCTAGTCAAAACTGATAAGCGTTAAAAAATCAGTAAAGGAATTGCTTCTTGTGGATTTTAAACACTGCTATATATGCACACGTGTGCACACATGTCTACTAATGGTTTCTTATCAATTTTAAAATAACAGTAATAACGAAAGATAATACTGTGTGTTCTTTCTTTTAGTGTAATACGTGGAGAGCATTAAAAGACTTATCTTGGATGGTTTTAAAGGTAATTTCTATATTGTGCTTGTCACTAGAAATTTCAGTAAATTTCTTTCTAAAATAAGATCTCCCCCATGGAATTTAGATACAGAGATGTATGGTTAATGCATGAATGTTAGGAACTGCAGCATGGGGCATAGCTTGGTTTGTACATTTATTTTAACTCTTATAGCTAACTCTTATATGTACTCATAGATTTATTTGAATTCTGATGTATGTGATAGGGTGACATGTTAATGCATTAAAACCTAATAAAGGAAAACATTCTAAAATTGGAGAAAGAATACAAAGCTACTTCTAACACAGTTTTTGCTTTCTAAGTTTTGTGTTAACTTTATATGAGATTAAAGTAATGATAAACTTTGTTTGTTTTATGTTATGGTTACTTGAACTGAAGAAGGCAGTGTTTTCAAGCATTTCATTTTAGCAAGTATTTTTGTTCTTATTGTTAAAAATATTATTGCTTTGTTAACAAAATATTAGTTGTAAGTTTATTTAATTCCACTGTCTGAAAGTGCACAGGAAACTGCTGGGTATATCTTTGTTGCTTTGCTTTTCCTAAATTTGATTGCCATAGAAGAAAAAAATCCGGATTGTTGTACTAGATTAAAATTAAAGCTAGTCAGAAAAAAATTATCATCAAAATTAGTTGATTCAATTAAATAAAATTTACTAAAGTTGATTAATTGTGTTGTGTCCTTCCACCAGACTGGCAGAGGCCAAGAGCTAGAAAACCCAGGAAGCCTTACCTTCTTGGATGACCAGGGTAGTCCATTCAAGTGACTGCCTCAGATTTCTGGTTTCCCTGGCCTTCCCTTCCAGAACCACCCAGGCAGACCATCCTGGAGCACTGTCTATGTATAGAGCTGAGTGGAGAATGGTAATGCCTTTTGGAAGAGAACTTCATTTTTTTGATAGATTTCTTTCCAAACCAAAATTTAAAAGAAATTGTGAAATCTTGAACTACCCTGCAAACAGGAATTACCATTCTTAAGTGAGCTGACGTTTAAAATCTTCATTCACATCACTTCAGACAATTGTTAATAGCTGCTTAGAGTTAGGTATTTGGATTGGAGACCTGCATAGAATATCCAAATGTTACAGGATATTCGGTAGTCTGTTTAATGATATTTCTCTAAATCAGCCCCAAACCAGTAAGTAAAAATAAAAGGTTCTAGGAATATGGGGTCATTAAAGATCTCCAGTGTTAAATATGCCAATTTACACAAGAGATTAAATTATTATCCAGTCTGAATCAAGGATTTTTGTGGGTAATAGTTTTTATTGGACTAAGTTGGGGATAAAGTTAGACAAGATTTCAAAAACAAGGCCTTTTTTATCGGGTCTCGTTGACCATCACGGCTATAATAGCACTCCAGTACTAACCAGTCTGAGTAACTATATTCTTCCTACCTAAGTTCCACCTGTACTTAGTCAGGTAAGTTGTTTTTTTTTTTTCCTCCCCCCACCCCCCCCATAA